AACTGTTCAGTAGGAAAGAAGAGGGAGAGGCTTTTACACACCCGTGGAAGCTCCTGCAGAGTCACAGCAAGGTCTCTGGCATCCTGCGCCTCTCCTAACTGGTGGAACTCACCATGTGCTGGAGCTAGGTTTTCTAATGACTTCTCAAGGTAATCTGTGACATGCACAATTTTAGCATGATTTCTCTGACTGCTGCTAATTGTAGTTACAGATCAAGAGCATTCACCTACCACTGTGGACTGAAGTGTCTCCAAAATCAAGAAATTACCTGTTTCTAGCTTTCTGGCTGCCTTACTCCCCCGGGGTAACTGCTCTGGGCTGCGAACACAGTTACCACTCTGCCCTTCCACTGTGCTACTGCTTCTGACCACACTCACCCATCTCCTCAGAGAAACATTCCTTTAAGGGCACAAAGTCAAAACATGCGAAGCTTAGGGAACTTGCTCTTAGAGATTTTCCATCAAAATTCACTTAGTCATTAAGTATCCCAAATTGGAATCCTCCCTTGAAAAGAGCAAAGGCAGCACCTGCTTTGAGTCTACTAGAACTGCTTTGGTTGGTCTTCAACCCAGAACTGATAGATGATGCTCAATGATAGCTCAATCTTAAACCTTAAACATACATTGAAAACGGCACACTAATGTACTGTGGAATCACACTGTAATAAATTAGAATTCTGCCTCCCTTTTAAAAATGCCAATTCATTATAAAAAAATACTTCTAATCCAATTATAATCTTAGAAGTACTTCAGTGTTGAAGATCTTTCCAAACCTGTTTCCATTGTATCCAAACCCTTTGCAAGTGATTCTTGCTTTTGTAAATAGGTTTCTGTCACTCTATAAAAGCATCATAACTAATAGCTTGTTCAGCTGCCTGAGCTTAGCAGGTTGCCTTGCAATGTCAAAGGAAACTAAAACCAAAGAATAAAAGTATCCTAGGAAGATATTCATTCAAACTTTCACAAAATACTTTGTTTAAACTATTGTTAAGGCTTTAATTCACTTGAAAATGATCTTTTTAAAATAGCTATGTTAAAATACACGCAAGAAGATAAAAACCACTGAATTTGCACTGAACTAGCCAGGCAAAACTGATTCTTATGAAAAACTAACTTCAAAAGACCATACTGTCTGAAGGGAAAACAAGAGTCAAGAAAGCCTAAATACCGCTCAGAACAGTATTCAGCATTCTAGTGCATATTTATTAGATATATTAATTAGGAAATACTATTCCAATATTAAAATTAGAAGTTTCTAATAAAAACAATGAACTCTATAACAGGATTGATTCCTTTTCTTTTTTGCAAGGACTGTGTGTGCAGGGACTAGTCACAGAAGTGTAAAGTTATTGAAAAACTTGTCCTGAAACAGATGTCTGCTAGGGCAGGAACATTTCAGCTTTAGTCAGAAGGCTCTACCATGCACTAACACAGCTCCTCCTCACAAACAAGCCTATCAAACAAGCAGCTTAAAGACAAAAAAAAAAAAGAAAAGAAAAAAAAAAAAAGGTGTTTGCAGAACTTCATCTGGGCGCCCATTTGATGTCTTTCACACCATGAAATTGTCTTTTCAAAGCATGGGTATCAGCCCACTCAGCATTTAGAAAGGAGTCGTCATCATCCTCTTCTAGTTTCTGTGAGCAGAAGCACAGGTTAAGAAGTCAGCGATGAAGGGAAGCTGCATGCGATGCCTGCAAAAGCCGTATCACATGCGCAGCAGAAAGGCATCGTTACCTTAAACTCCTCCTGCTTTTTGTAGTAATACAGCATCATCTGCTTTTGCTCTTCATGACTGATCACAGGCTCACGTCCTGGAGCTCCCTGCCCCTTCTGAAAGGGAAACAGCAAATTTCACTGGTGATGGCAATTGCAGGACAAGGAAGAGTAGGAGAAGCTGCTATGCAAAATAGAAAAATCTTTCTTGAGACAAGACTTCTCAAACCTAGCTTGCCCTGCAGGACAAGAAAATGAAAATGCTGTATTAAAGCGAGAATTAATCTTTCATCTTAGGTTCTCGATCATTCCGTTAGTTGTGTGGACAGCAATAGGGGCAGCATACAGGATTCTCTAGCCTTTTAACTTAAACTTCTACTCTAAAAGACATTGCAAATCTCTCACCTTTACGATCGCTCCAGCTGTCTCATGATGGGCTCATCCATCTTTAACCTCTCTGCTAATATGTACACTAGATGGCATAAGGCTTTGTAAAGCCAGGAAGGAGACAGGCACAAAACAGTATAAGTTACTACAAATAAAGGAAGGTTTTGTTTGTTTTTTTTTTCTTTTTTTTTTTCTTTCTTTCTTTCTTCCCCAAGGCAACTGTTCTCATGGAAGGAATGATGCACACAGCAGAAAATAGCTGATGACACCTATTGTCAGCAATGGCAAACAGAACAGTTTCAATGGGGATAATGAATCCTTTCTGGAACAAAAAGGGTTTGAGGTGGTCTAAATTAGCTCTCCAACCCAAGAACACAGACATCCATCACCAGAAAAGAAGAAGCAGGGAAACACTGTCTGCTTTGCATTTTCTGAAGGGGACCATAAGCAATTAAACTGCAAGACAACTTTCTGGGGTGTCTATACTTGGAGGACTGTTGCACAGCCTCACCAGTTTTCAGTCACCCTGAGACGAAGGAGAAAGCAGCTGTGCCCTGATGAATGATAAACACGTAAGCCTCTGGATTTAGCTTTAAAGACTTCTACTCCAGCACTCGCAGATAGCAAGACCTGCTGTGGCCATTAGTGCCTGCTGTGGCGGAGCAGCTCTCACTGACATGGAAGTGAAATGCATCTCTAAAAGGATCCTGCCTACGAGCAAGTACTCTTGGAGGCTTCTGACACTCACAAATGCATCTCCTGGATGCTCTTATTTATAGAGGAACAGGGTGAACGCATGGAAAGACTTTTTGACAAAGCTCCTAAGCACAAAACATTAAAACTGATTTTTAAAGGCCAAAAGACAGAGTGGAAAAAAATCTCCCAAACACTCACAAAGACAATTATAAAAACAGCATAGAGTGAATTAATGGGTCTGCTCAATTGCTGTGGATACTGAGAAGCAATTGAGAGCCGGTCAAGGTTTCGACTGGCTGCATTTAGTGTATCTTTAAATCTTCATTCATACAGCCTTTGCTGTACTCTACACAAGTACTACAGAGTAAGCAGTGACAATTACAGTATTGAACTGATGGGCAAAGCAACTAATAGAAATACTTCTAATATATTGAAAGTATTACTAAATTCAGAAATTTAAAATAGGTGTACTGTTTTAAGACACTCAGTCTATTTCATTTTATACACCTACTGCCAATTCTCTTCCCTGGAGAATTGAATAGCCAAGGGTGAATGATGTGTAAAGGAAACTTCCAGCAACACTTACTTTCTGTATCTTGACAATGATGGTTGTTTTTTCATTTTTGCCTACATAATCAGAGAGCAATTTTGTTTCTTTCAATTCCTTTGCTGCCCACCATAATTGTGCTTCTGATTCTTTTATAACTTCAAGTCCAGCCTGTGACAAACAAACACACAAGGTGAAAGAGAGAAGAAATATTTGCGTTATTTAAAATAATTAAAAAAAATCTTTCTTGAATAGCAACATTTCAATGTTCCATTCAATCTTGATGTAACAGAAACTTTTTAGGCAATAAATTCTCAGTGCTGGCATTAAAAAAAACTGGGTGCCAGATTTACCTATACCTCTACCTTTGTATGGAACATTGGAAACAAACTTAATTCACCTCATTTTTATGTAAGCTATTGATTCTTTTTTTTTTTTGTCATTTAACAAAGGTGTTAAACAAAATTAAACATCCACATGAAAACACATAACCTGAACAGCTAAAATGGAGAACAGCTCAGAATAAATTTAACCCAGACATCACACATAAACCACATATAACATACATGAGTTCCCAACAAGTCTTCTTTATCTTCAAACTCCATCCTAACTGGATCATGTGGAGGCAATCCCATCGGATACACAATCATCACAGCCCCTCGGAGCTGGTCCAATGCATCTTTCACCATCTCCATATTAAGGCACACATTGGCCTGAACTTGCTTCTGAAATACAAGCAGAGAAGTTGTTACATTTAAAAGAATATGGAAAAAAAAATGCTCTGTAGTTGATTCAAAAATTCATCAGATATTTGAGCTAAACTAACCAGCTGCACACACACACACACACACAAAAAGCGAGTGCAAATTTCCTCCAATGAAGACTGATTTTTAAATGCATCAAAATTCTCTCCTCCAACTCCCCACACTACTTAGGTTTCTTCAAATAGCAGGAAAAAAAAGTGCAGGAGGCTCAACAAACGTGTGTAATACAGACATTCAAGCACGTGCACACATGACTGTGCAAAATAGATGGGGAATGTCTGATTCCAAGTATTTGTGATTTATCATACCAGATACAAAAAAAGTGAGGGCTACTAGAGAGGCCTCAAATTTGAAACTTTGGTAACAAATGGAGTGCACAGGAGCAAGAGAGTAAAGCACGGCACACACACAGATTTTAAGCTCAAATATATTTGAGATCATTTCAAACCAAACTGCAATGGAGAAAAAAAAAAGCTCATCTGGAAAGGAATTATTATTTGCTTGTGGATTTCACAATTCTAGTATTTTTATAGGGAGGTTTATAAAAGAAAAAGTGACTAAGAGAATGTTGCCTCCTTGTGGACATTATTAAATTAGTTAACTGGCAATTACAATAAGTTTTTAGACTTCAGATGATCCATTTTTTCTTCCTAGTATATAGGCATTTCTCCATTTTCTTCACTATAAAAACGCCACCTTTGCTTTGAAAGCTAACCCTCAAAGCAAGGGGATCATAGGTACTTACTTAAACATATGGCAATCAACAACAGAAACACTTGCCTAGCTCTCGCACAATAGGATTTGCCAAACCTACTTCACAAACTACCTCTTCATTCATCAGTACAGCTGCAGCAATTTCTGCAGTGAATGGACACACGGTGCAGCAATTTTGTAGAGTGAATAATAGCATGGAATATAGTTGTAAGTTTTGACCAGACAAACCTGCAAAGTGGAGACCAAATCTCTGGGATATTCTTTCCTCAGTAAATAAAACTGTATATTATAAATTCTCCATATTTAGCAAAAGAGGTGCTGAGTTACAATCAAACAGAAAAAAAAAAAGTCTATCCAGAGAAAACCAGTTGTGCTTCAAACTGATATGAAATCTGAGACACGATACAGAATTATCTGAATATTTGATAGACTTCAGTAGTTTAGACCACGGAGCACCCTCTCATGTTAATCTTTAAGCACACTATGTCATTGAAACTCAGCAGGTATCCAAGTGCTTGTAAAAACAAGGCCCATCTAAGAGATGAGAACACATTCCTCAATTAATTATATGTAAAACTCAGACTATATTAATGGACAAAAGGCATTTGAATCCGGCATATCGCAGATTGTAGTTAATTTTTCACTAGAATATCTGACAAGCATTCGCTTAAAAATGCATCAATAGCAAATTAAGAATGTGTGGATAAAATTAAATGCAATTCAATTATTTAGTTTGGTCTAGGCTGCCAGCATTCGCTTGGAATTGAATACCTGATTCTTTAACTTATTGAACCAGCTTGCCAAAAGCCATTAAGAAAATGATTAACAGAATCGTCACATTCTTATTACACTATTTACATTATTTACATCACTTCATGACATTATTCAAAACTGTTACCCTCAGCGCTGAAAAAGTCTATTTTTTCTCAAACGGGCTTTCTACAGGGCACCCATTTAAGCAGTTTCACATACCACATGGTGCTTCAGAGGACTTACCTTAGAGATTAAGGCCTTCGCTTCCTCTATTGTCTTTCTTATAACTTGCTGCATTTTTTCATTTGGAGCTACAAAATGAGAGATGCGAGTTCGACACATTAACATTATGCGGCATAAAATAACAGCAAACAATCTGATCAGGTTATTGTCCACTTTAAGCAAATTAAACACAATTACATTACAAACAACGGACATGCTTATACTAAGTTGCAGTAAATTTACTAGTCTAATGGTTCATTACTGTATTACCTCCTAGTCTAAACGCAAACTAATATTTCTCCTGGGACAATTACACATGTCTTTCCACAAGCACATTTGACTGGTGTGAGAAACTTTTATCCACTAACAAACAAATGTGAGAGCATAACTATAAAAGGAAAGTTTATTAAAAAGTAAAAAAACAGTTAAAAGTGGAACTATTCTTATGCTAGTGCTTGCAAAATTTTACTACATTACTAAACTAAACTTCCACCTCTTCCTAACTTTGAACCAGAACTCTTCTGCTAGTTGCCTGGCCCAGTCAGGTTTTGGATGTACAACTATGCGTGACAGAGATTCAACTACTTTTGAGAACGCAGTTAGGAAAGAAAGCTATTTTAAGTTCTTAAAATAGTTCATCAAGGTCTTAAAACTTGACTGCATAGTGTTTTGTGCTAGGAAAGTTATTTTCCCCCAAGTAAGCCACATGGAGTAAGTTGTTTATGCATGCCAGGCTAAGACTGTAACTGAATTATTCAAAGACTGCATGTTAACTGAACTGCCCTGGAGCTCAGGTCTAAAGGGCTCCTGGCCCCAACAAGTACTGTTGTGTTGAGAGCAACAACCCTCGAGCTCCCAACTCTAGCCTGGTGGTAGTGCTTGATACATGGAGCAAGTATTCCAGTAAAAGCACTGGCAGAAACACTCTGAGCAGAAATAAGAGAGATGTGGGGAGTTCAGTGAGTTGGAGTCTCAGTAAATGAGGAAAAGAAACACTAGAAAAACAACCAGTTCACTGAAAGTATCTTTGAGACTCCGGAGAAAAATGTTACCTGAGCATGCATTTAAAAATGGGAAGAATTAAGGTGAAACAATCAGCTTTGCTTCTGAAACTTGTTTGTTTAGGGAGTATATTTCTAAATACTATGGTTGCAAAGTTAACTAGCATAAGCTGATGTGTGTGCTGAAGAGGAAAACAAACAAACAAAAAAAACCAAAAAACCCAATTTGGTTTTCTCTTTTGCCAGAACAGCGAAGTAAAAACAAAAGGTTGAGAATTATGGCTATCACATTCCCCACAATATCACTTGTTATTTATCTTGCAGGAAAAAAAAAAAAATCTGTGCTCTTATTTACCATGCCCATTCCTTCGTCCCATGACATCCTTTTTAAAGACACTTCCACCACTGGGCATACATTTTTCTGCCCATTCATCCTTTAATTTCAACTCTTCTATCTGTTCGTCTGTCAGTCCTTGCATATTAGGAGGCAAGGAAATCCCATGCTCTGCCAGGTCCTCCAACTCTAAAAAGCATTTAGAACACACGTTTAGAAAGCTATGTTATGACAACACACCATCTACAAAAAACGTTTGTAAAATTATATTGAAGCAGGCAAACTTTATTGTAGAGTTTCAGCTTGTAAAGATTTTATGTAAATAAAAAAGGACTATATATCAGCGCTGTAGTATAAAAGGCATGAATTGCAGTAACACGTGAAACAACCTAACGTGTGAAACAAAGTGACCTATGAGACAACGGCGGAATGCAAACCCAGATGATACTTGCTGGCCATAAACAACTTCTTAGGGGTGCTTCATTAGTCAGCTGTGGCTGGCTGTGTATTTCTTTTCCTAAGTAGCTCAGAACAATAACTTCTTGCCAAATGGAAAAATATTTTTTTGTTATACAGTAATGAATTTCTTCACTGCGGAGACAGCGTGCATCTAAACTAGCTGCAGCTTTCCCAGTACCACATTACAGCCAAAAGGTCAGTCACACCCAGCATGAAATAAGTAAAATTTCATCTTTTAGTGTCTTCTTGCAGATTAGCCTGAGGTCTAGTCTCATGCCCTGAACGTGCATGAGTGGTTGGAGGACATGTGTTACAGATAGACTGCACCCTTCAGGAGACCCTCATCTGAGGGCAATGCAGTTTATGCATTCCCAGAGTGATCCACAGGGCAGGCCCAAAGCCTGGTCTGTGGGGACATGAGGGATGGAGTCTTGGCAAGGACGCTCCTGGCTGGAACTGACTGGAATTGAAATAGTAATTTAGAATTTAGTAATTTAATAGGTACCACCACTGGAAAATAGCTGCCTGGCAGCCTAGCATCCACTGCACACTAGGCAACACGGTTCACACGATGGTCACGTTTCTTGTCCTGCAAAGTTTACACTGCCATGGTGCACAGGACGTCCTACAGCACGTGACTTCTCAGCCATGTACTGAAGCTCAGAGCCACATGGACCTCAGGGCTCACCTCTACTAATAAACTAAGAAATACTATACGTATAAAGCAAAGAAAAAAACAAAAAAAAAAACACGTAAGGTGAGGCTGTATGCAGCATTTGGGTGGCTCTGGGCGCCACCACACTTCAGCTGAGAGAGGAAGGCTCCTCTGC